TTATGAAAGGAAGAAAGGATAGAGTGGACTTGCAAGGCAGGAAGGAGAAATTTTCCCTGATCCAGAAACCAATTGCCTTGAGTGGGAAATGACTGGTAAGTTAAAGATTCAGAAGGAGAATAAGTAGGAGTAATTGTTGAAAAAAAAATATTGTCTGCTGGGGGCGGATATTGGTACATTTGCTGCCTTTTTATTTGTCTCATCTGCATAAGCATTTCCTTGGGCAATGGGATCTAAAGTTTTTTGGTGTCCTTTACAGTGGACGACTCTGGCCTTAGCTGGGAGAAGGGCAGCTTTAAGGAGAGCTTTTATTAACGAAGAATTGATAATGGAATATTTTTGTGTAGTGAGAAAGCCCCTTTCTGCCCAGTTGGCAGCATGGTGATGGAGGATATGAAAAGCATATTTGAAGTTGGTGTAGATGTTGACTTTTAGCCCTTTTGCCAGGGTGAGAGCACGCGTGAGTGCGAATAGATTTGGACATGGCTCTTGTGTAAGAACTCCAACTGCACAACCCTGAATTTCATCAGTGTATAAGGAAAAGGGTTGGGTTGGATTGGTATAGCAAAGAATGGGTTAAATTAAAGATTTTGTACAGGTAAATAATAGGTGCAATTATGTGGGGCAGCCAAGGGAGCAGGAGGAATAGGCACAGAAGTTACACAGGGTACCATGGAAAAGAAGGTTATTTATTTACTTTAGAAGAGAGTTAAGGGTGGCAGCCGGGGGTGGAACCAGGAAATGTCTTGGCACACAGAATGAAGGAAGAGGGTAATGCAGCAAGATAGGAGCAGGGCATTTAAGTTTCCTTAGGAATTTGGGTGAGTTTCAGAGAAGTTAGGGAGAGTATAGGGGTTTGGCACTGTAGGATGGCTGGGGAGGTGGTGACCCACATCCTAGGGTTAAGGTAGGGGGACATAAGGAGAGCTATTGAGGATTCAGGGAGGAGGGTGGCAATGAGGTGTGGCTGTAGCCCAGGAATGGTTAAGGAGGCAGACAATTTTGTTAGGCTATCTTGGCCTAACAGGGGAACTGGATAAGTGGAGATGATTAGGAAAAAATGTGGAAAGGAATGCTGGCCTAATTGAGCCTAGACTTGGGGAGTTTGGCAGGCCTGGAGGCCTTGCCGTCAATTCCCACAACAGTTATGGAGGCCAAAGAGATAGGTTGGCATGGAGTGGGTGGCCACCATATTGATTAAGAAGGGAATAGACTTACCCACCACTATGGGAGTTACCCAAAGCTCAGTGTCCATGATGGTCCAGGGGGCCTCTGAGATGTTCGGGCAGCGTCAGTCTTTAGCCACCAAGCTGAGGAGCATCATCATGAGTCAGACACTCCAAATTCCAGTGCGAGCCCACAAGACAGGGCAGGGCTTAGAAGGAATCCTGCGCTGCTGGCATTCCTTGGCTCAGTGGCCAGGTTTCCAACACTTGAAGCAAGGTCTGGAGGGTGGATGCCACAGTCTGGGCACTTTGATGCCTTTGTAGCAGGTAGTGTGGCTGGGGTTTGTCTTACAGCAGAGGCAAGCATTTGTAGTTCTGAGATGCACTACTGCTGGGCAGCTTTTTCTGTATTACTGAACACCTGAAGGCGAGGTTGATTAATTCCTGTTGTGGGGTTTGAGGGCCAAATTTTTATTTCTGTGGCTTTTTTAATGTTAGGGGCCGATTGGGTGATAAACATTTTTCAGGGGTGAGAGTAGAAGTAAGGATGGCATTTAAGTTACTCCAGGTGAGATTATAGGACGGGGTTAAGTATTGGAGGATTAGACAAAATGGAGCCTAACCTTTGGCTGATTTGGGAAAGGTCAGATAAAGAGAAAGAAACGTGCACCCTAACTATGCCTCAGGCTCCAGACATCTCTCAAAGGGGGAATTGTTGGGAAGGGGCGGAGGAGTTGCTGCAGGACCAAACTGCAAGCCTGCCTGGGTATGAGGTGGGGAGGTGACAGGAGGGGCATAAGGAGGTGAGTTGTGGGCAGAGGAGGAAAGGGGAGGCTCTGGGTAGGGGTTAGGGCCTAGATTGGGATCTGGTTCAGACAGGCAGGAAGGAGAAAGGTCTGGAGGGTTGACGGACAAGGAAGATTCTGACTCACTGGTGGAGGTAGGAGGCGTAGATGGAAGGGAGAGAAGAAAAATTTGACATGGGTTACATTGAGAGCAGAGATTAGGGAGGGATTAGAATGTAAAAAATTGCCTGGACATAGGGAATTTTAGATCGTTTGTCCATTTGTTGACAAAAATTGTCTAGGTCTTGCAGAATAGAAAAATTGAAAGTGTCATTTTCTGGCCACTTAGAGCCATTGTCCAATTTATATTGTGGCCAAGTGGTATTGCAGAAGAAAATCAGATACTTAGGTTTCAGGTCAGGTGATAGCTGGAGAGGATTGAGGTTTTTTAGAATGCAGGCTGAGGGATAGGAGGGAGGAATGCAGGGTGGGAGGTTGCCTGTAATTAAAGAAGAGTGATGGAGACAAGGAAAGTGAATGCATGACCAAGCAGTTTAGCAGTCATCCCAGACTAAAACTTGGTCGGTACCTGGGATGATCTGGTCAATAGCGGAGTCCCCTGCGTTGATCCATCACATACGAGTGGGAGTGAATGACCAGAACAGACGTCTCCACAATGATCAGTCACTAAGGGAAGACTGTCTTCCTGGTTCCATGACCCATGTGGGATTTTTTTCTGGTCATGAACTTCACGGAAAGTTGTCTTTCTTGTCTCTGCTAAAAGGAAGAGGAAAATGAAACTGAAAGGAGAAGGAGGCTGACAGGTAGAGAGAAGGGCTAAAGAAGAGAGTTGAGGCAAACTACTTACCTGGTCTGAGGATGGTGAGTGGGTCTGTGGGCTGGTCTGATGAATCCAGGTCGTAGGTAGGTATCTTCACAGAGGGAGCACAAAAAGAGCAGGGGCAGGCAGTTTGGTCTCCCGTAGGAGTTCCTCCATCCTGGGTTTCAGCACCAAGTGTTAGGCACGTTGCTTGTGTGAAGAGACCAATAGGCAGGCTTCATGTGGGCAATAAGGCTGCTTTATTTCATGCTTGGGTGCAAGCAGGCCAAGTCTAAAAGAGGAGTTAGGCAAGGGGATTAGGAAAGGGGATTGGTTATATAGGTTGGGGCAAATGCTTAGTTAAAGGTGGTTATCTATTTTAGGGAGAGGAAGGGTGTCACAGGATGCGTGGTCATAAAAGTAGTGGTCTTCTATTATAAACAGGCATGATCATAATTGTAGAGGGTATTGGTTTCAAGCAAAGGGAAGGGTGTGGTAAATTACATAGTTACAGGGGCGGGGGCCTTGAGAAACCTAATGTCTAGAGTGGGGAGGTTTTTGGAAGGCTGAGCAGGAACAATGGTTGAAGGTTGCAGGGTGAGAGCAATCAGTTGAGGCAGGAACTAGTTGTTTCACTTGTCTTTGTGGCCATCCAGTTACTCCAGACTTTCTGGCTCCTGGAGACCATCCAGAGGTGTACATGCAGGTCACCAAAGCTATATGGCCAGGCTTGGACTTGGAGGCCTGACATAGGGAGAGTCTGTTCTGGCCTCTTCCAGTGTCTGGTGGCTGCAGCTTTCCTTGGCTATGGACACATCACTCCAGTCTCTGTCTCTGTGGTCACATGGCCTTCTCTTCTGCCTGTGTTAAATCTCTCTCTCCCTCTCTTATAAGGACACTTGTCATTGTTGTTGGGGCCCACGTGGTTAATCCAGATAATCTTCTCATGTTAATATCCTTAATTTACATGGGTAAAGGCGCTTTTTACAAATAATAAAGACATGAATACGTTCCAATGAGGAGAATCTGACATTTTGGGGTCATACTCAGCGTATTAAACTGTTAAAATACTGTTTCTGTGCACACTCACACAACAGCCTCTCTCTCCTCATCCCCCTTTCTTTTCCTGTTTCTCATGATCACAAGTCATTTCACTTCCTAAGGGAATCCAGTGCCTTTTATGTCCAGGTCAGAGGGGCACACATAGGATGGCCTTGCTCAGGGTTTGCTTAAATACCTGCTCTGTCCCACATTATCATGTAGAAGGAAGGACACAGCCACAGACAGCCCTTAACCATCTGGAAGAAGCTGTCTCTACAGAGCATAGTCAGGGGCTGTGGTTCTCTGGGCCTCCAATTGTCTTCAGGGGCCTGTGTTTTCAACCCTCATGGAGAGTTTGGATGGCCTCTGACCCAGATAGGATCCACCTTAGCTTACTATTTTCCCCTTCTACTCACTAGGGAAGTATATTTGGTGTAGGCTGAGTGAGATGACAAATTGTCCAAAGTATAGAAATGACTATCATTTACTTTGCATATTTTTTAGTTACGTTCAGGAGGCATTTTGTAATATTTTTCAGTGCATAACAATCGATTTTCTAGAATGCCTTGACTCACTAGATGAGAGTAATCCTATTCAATTGTCCTTAGAATTGGGTCACAAAAATCAAGTGTTGGCCACCTGCCCTTCCCCGGGCCTCAGCTGCTGCTGACAGCTGTTAGGAAGACCCACTTCCCTCCCACTTTTTGGATCTGCCTCCTAACAGATTCCCATGATGGAGTAGGCCAGAGGGGCCAAGAGGCTCCCTATGAACACAGGAGAGCTGGGTGCTCCTGGGATCTTTAACTGTCTCATCTGGGCTCAGAGCAGCTGTTACCTTGGCATCTACTTAGAGCATAAAGCAGAACAAGGCCCATCTCCATAAGAATAGAATGTCCAGTGATCTTGCTGCAGGCATCTTGCTGACTCTGAGGTGACCTCTGTTCCAGCCTCTGGAGAGAAGCTCTGTGAACAGGGTAATATCTCAGCCCTGCTCAGTACAGCCTCAATCTCTGTGGAACCTAAGGCACCCCCATCAGCTCCACCACCTCCTGGCAGCTGCCGATAAAGTGAGCATCCTGGAGAGGGGCTCTGGTACAGGCCATCGGACATGCAAATTAACTACATGAAAACCTGTGTTTATTTAACCGTGGGGGCATGGGCCCTGCTTCTAGAGCAGCTGAGAGGAACTACCTGCCTAACCACATACCCCTTGCTCTTAGGTCCAGAAGGAACGGATCCCAGGACACTCCAAGATGTGCTTCCTGGCCCTGTTCCTCTGCCTCCTGGTGATGGGCTTTCAGGGTGAGTGCATTTCCCACTGCAGACCATGCAGGGGCTTTAGCCCTTGACACAGGGATAATGAGCTCAAATTGGAAATTACAGTGTGACATGGAGGGTGATATGCCTTAATTCTCATTAGGAAACCAAGGTAGAGAGCCCAAGGCTAACCATGAGGCAGAGGTGCCCACAGCCTTGAACCTGTCCTCTGCCTCTCAGAGGACCTCTGTCCCTGCTCCCATCCCATGTCCATCTCTCCTGAGAGGCTCCCCAGGGCACTGGTCAGGCTGAGAAGTATGGACCTGCCCATTGGCCCGTGAGGGTGGGGCTGCACCGTGCCATATCCCCTCTCATAGCTGCCCTGGTCCTGAGGACACCTCCCCAGCCATTTCTGTGTGGAATGTACACAGGAAACGGTGGCAAGGTTCGGGGGTGCTAATTTCTGTCATGTTTAAGCATGGCATGAGCCTTTTAATGGGGCAAGTTTCTTATAATCCTTTGGGAAAGTAATGCATTGTGCTGCCTGGATGGGGTGTCTTTGCAGGCTGCAGTGGGCAGATTGTCCTGACTCAGTCTCCAGAGACCTTGGAAGCAACTCGAGGTGACTTTGTCTCCATCACCTGTAGAAGCAGCACAGATGTAGGCACCTCCATAGCCTGGTACCAACAGAGACCGCAGGAGGCTCCCAGGCTGCTCTTCTTTGGAGCTTCTGCCCGGGCTGCTGGAACCCCTTCCCGGTTCCGGGGAAGTGGCTCTGGCTTTTACTTCTCTTTCTCTATCCATGGGGTGGAAGCCGAAGACATTGGGGTGTTTTACTGCCAGCAGCATTTCAGCCAGCCTCTCACAGTGACAGGTCGTCAAACGAAATTACTCTTTCTGGGTGGATGATGCTTCTTTCGTGCACCTGCTTCCCACAAGGGGTGCAATCTGAGAGTGTGAAAGGTTCACATTGCAGATGTCTATGTTTTCAGAGTTTGTGATCTCTGATCTGTTAAGTCCGGGTCAGGGCAGAGTTATTTCCTCAAATTTAAATAAGATGTACAGAGGAGGAGAGGCAAAGAGGAGTGAAACCAAGCTGTTTCCTAGACAGGTGCTTTACCTGGCCTGATTTGTTAATTTTTTTCATTTTCTTGCAGGATATCAGAACACTCCAAAATGTAAATGATTAAAACAATAATTATTTGTTGTGATTCTATGGGCTGACTGGGAGGTTTTTCTGTTGCTTGTCCTGAGCTCCCTCATGTAGCTGCAGTCAGCTGGGTCAGTGGAGTGGGCAGTTTTCCTGCTGGCCTCACCCACCTGCCTGTCAGTCAGTGCTGGCTGTGGCTGGGAGCCTTGGTTCCTCTCTTAGTGACATAGGAGGGCGGTGGGAGCACTCCAGCTTTGCTTCAGGTATTTAAAGGTGAACTGTCTGCAGAAATTTTTATTTAATAATAAAACTGTTTCATCTTGTAGAAATCTTTTGCCTCCCTGGTCAGTTGTATCCCTTGGTATTTTATTCTTTTTGTGGCAATTGCAAGCAGGAGTTCGCTCCTGATTTGGCTCTTGGCTTGACTATTGTTGGTGTTTAGGAATGTTAGTGATTTTTGTACATTGATTTTGTGTCCTGAGACCTTGCAGAAGTTGCTGATTAGCTTAAGGAGCTTTTAGATTGAAACTGTGGGGTTTTCTAGATATAGGATTATGACATTTGCAAACAGAAATAGTTTTATTTCCTTGCTTCCTATATGGAGGATCTTTATTTGTTTCTCTTGCCTGATTGCCCTGGCTGGGACTTCCACTACTATGCTGAATAGGAGTGGTGAGAGAGCATCCTTGTCTTGTGTCAGTTTTTAAGGTGAATGCTTTCAGCTTTTGCCCCTTCAGTATGATGTTGGCTGTGGGTTTGTCATAGATGGATCTTATCATTTTGAGGTATGTTCCTTTAACACCCAGTTAATTGAGAGTTTTTAACATGAAGGGTGTTTAATTTATAGAAAGCCTTTTCTGCATCTATTGACATAATCATGTGACTTTTGTCTTTATTTCTGTTTATGTGATAAATCACATTAATTAATTTGCTTACGTTGAACCAATCCTGCATCCCAGGGATAAAACTTACTTGATTGTTGTGGGTAAGCTTTTTGATGTGCTGCTGGATTTGGTTTGCCAGAATTTTGTCGAAGATTTTTGCATCAGTGTTCATCAAAGATATTGGGCTGGCCTATACTTTTCTTTTTGTGTTCTGTCTCTGCCAGGTTTTGGTATCAGGATGATTTTGGCTTCATAGAATGAGTTGGGTAGGAGTCACTCCTCAATTTTTGGAATAGTTTTAGTAGAAATGATACAAGCTCTTCTTGGAATGTCTGGTACAATTTTGCTGTGAATCCATCTTGCCCTGGGCTTTTTTTTGTTGGTAGGCTATTTATTACAGATTGAATTTTGGAGCTCGTTATTGGTCTATTCAGGAATTCAGCTTCTTCCTGGTTCAGTATTGGGAGGATGTACGTGTCTAGGAATTCATCCGTTTCTTCTAGATTTTCTAGTTTGTGTGCGTAGAGGTGTTCATAACATCCTCTGGGGGTTATTTGTATTTCTGTGGGGTCAGTAGTAATATCCCCTTTGTCATTGCTAATTGTGCTTATTGGAATCTTCTCTTATTTTTTCTTCATTAGTCTAGCTGGCTATTTTATTAATTTTTTTCAAAAAACTATCTCCTGGATTCCTTGACCTTTTGAAGGTTTTTTGTGTCTCAATCTACTTCAGTTCAACTCTGATTTTGATCATTTCTTGTCTTCTGCTAGCTTTGAAGTTGGTTTGCTCTTCCTTCTCTAGTTATTTTAGTTGCGATGTCAGGTTTTTAAATTGAGATCTTTCTAACTTTTTCATGTGGGCATTTTTTTTTCTCTCTTAACACTGCCTTAACTCTGTTCCAGAGATTCTGGTATGTTGTATCTTTGTTCTCATTAGTTTCAAAGAACTTCTTGATTTCTTCCTAATTTCAGTATTTACCCCAAATTAATTCAGGGACAGGTTATTTAATTTCCGTGTAATGGTATAGTTTTGAGCAGGGAACTGACAGGCTCAGATCTGTGTGTGCCCTCTGTGCAGCCTCAGGCAAACAGGGGTGGCTGCTCAAGGTTGGGGTGGGTCCACCGTTCTCCATGCCCAGTTGCACTCTGGCAGCAGTGTTGGCACCAGGATGGGGAGCTGGAATGGGCTGGTACAGAGGGTTCTGTGCCTGTTAAGACTCTGACTGCAATGGTGGTATGGTGGGTAGGTGGGAGCAGAGTGCACTTTTGTCTGAAGCAGTGGCAGCATGGGGTGCATGCACACTCGTGTGCTGGTGGAACAGGGAGGGCAAAATCTATTCATGTGAACATGCACTGGGAAAATGATGTGGGGGCTGTGGGTCGGAGGAAGCTGCGGTATGGGAGGGAGAGGACAGGCTGGTGCAGGGGCCACTGCTCTGGAGCTCTCCTCAGTCAGTCATGGTCTGCCAGTGCAGGAGCTTTGATGTGGGCCCGCAGGGCACCCAGGATGTAAAGCAAGCAGGCGCAGCCAGGCTGGGCCACCGGGGGAGAGGCCAGCAGATCAAGGGATGCTCAGGTCGAACTGGCCTCACCTGATGGGCAAGACCGCCCTGCAGAGTTCAGGTCCAACAGTTCCCTTAGGGGTAATGTCTCCTTCGGAAGCAAGTAGAGCCTAGAGGGATGGCAGTCCCTGGCCTTGCTCTGCTACAGGCACTGCGGCACCAACCCCTGCCCCTGGGTTCCACACCAGCAGGTGTGATGCCCCTACCACTTCTCTAAGCATCTCTCCCCGACAACTCAAGTGTCTATGGTGGTAGAGGGTCTCCTCCTGCTGGGATTCCAGAGACCTGTAAGGAGAGGGGGTTGCTTCTTGCCTGTTCAATTCACCTGTTCCCTGGGAGTCATTGGGTATCAAGAAGGAATCCTAGTGCGTGGCATCCCCATGCAGGGTTCCTGTCTTCCACTTGTTTCATCCCAGCTTCTGTGTCTTCCCTCCATCCACTCTCTGTGCCTTCCCTCTGAAGATCTGTTAGGAGTGTGTCTGTCCTCCTGGGCTTCTTGGTGGCAGCCGATTCACCCTGCTGCATCTAGTCAGCTATCTTGCCTGAATCTCTCTATATTCTTTATAACTTGACTTTCTTCTCTATTTCTTCTATAAGTACTGATCAAACAATATTTTAAAGCATATTTGTTTAAAACTTATGAAAATGGAATTGTTTGAATGACATCTCATTGACTCATACTTTCGTTTGTGCTTTATGCCATGCGAGTCTTTTTTAAGAAATCTTTTTCTTTATCTATGGTCATCAGCAATGCTTCTATGTTATTTTCTACATGTTTTTGTTTGCCTTTTATACTTCAGTTTATGATTTATTTAGAATTGATATTTGCATCAGTGTAGAGATAAAATGCAGAGGCTAAAATTCATTTGATATAATATGTATATGAAATTGATTCAATGCCATTCACTTATTATATACAGCTTTCTACTAAGTTGCTGCTGTGATTTGAATTATCTGTGTCCCCTCCTAAATTTGTAATGAAACTTAATTCCCAATGCAAAAGTATTAATAGAAGGAGCTTTTGGGAGGTGATTAGGTCATAAAGACTCTACTCTATGGAAAGATACTAAAGTCTAATGAAGGTGACTTCACACACGGTTGCCCCTTTTGCCCTTCCACCTCCACCGTATGAAGACACAGCCATAGACGCCATCTAGGAAGCAGGAGCAGTCCTCAATCACCAGACACCTAGATTGCTGTTGCCTTGACCTTAGACTTTCCAGCCTTCAAACTTCTGTACAAATAAATTTCTGCTGTTTATAATTTACTCAGTCTAAGGTATTTATTTATTTATTTATTTATTTATTTTTGCAGCACAGGTGCATACAGACAATGACTATAGGATTTTATTATTAATTGGGTGACTACATATGTGTGGATCTCATTTAGATTCTCTAATTAATTGACTGGCTTATTTGTTTGATACGAATAAAATATTATTTCTGTAATTTACTATAGGCTTTGGTATTGAAATATAGAGTTTACCCAGGTTCACTTACCATCAATAGATGACTTACTACTTCTGTATGGCCTGTGTATTTAAAAGTTGGTATTCTAGGTGTGATATTGTGCCAGAATTGCTAGCCTTTGCTTACCGGTAATAACTAAAAGAAGCAGCCCAGGCTAATTCCATCCTGGCTCCTGTGACTTGTAGTAAGGAACTAAGATCTGTGACTTCTATCACTACCCAGATAATGTGTAAACAAATGCTTATCTTGACTTCTGTAAACCACTGAAGTAACAAACAGAATGACAAAAGTCCCCTGGCCCTTGGAATGTCCGGAGGCCCCCACCCTCGTCTCTGCCCAGGAGGTGATTTACTGAATCCCCTGGCCCTTGGAATGTCCGAAACCTTTTCATCCCCATCCTCGCTCCTCACCCCCACTCCCAAGGTGGTTTTTCGGGTATAAAAAGTCTTGGCACCCTCCTTTCGACACCACAGGTTGGAGAGATGTGAGTCCTCTGTGGTCGCCGGCATAATAAATGACCCTGCAATCTGGCATACTTTTGTCTTTGTGCTAACTTTCTATGCTTGGTCCTGTACAACATAGGTACTATATACAAAACAAATCACCCCCAAATGTAATGGCATATGAGAACTGCTATCATTTGCCTATCATCTTTACGGTTCTAGATGTTGCCTGGGCTCACCCAGGTTCCTGCCAGGGTTTCTTTATGGATGTAGTCAGATGACGAGTGGAGTAGAAGTCATCTCAAAGGTGGTGGATGCTGGGAGTTGGCTGGAAGTTGGCCGGATCTCAGCTTGGACGGTTTGCCTATCCATGTGACTGCTTGGCTCCCTCTACACTTCCGCAAGAGTATGAGGCTGAAGTTATGCACCCTCAATGACCTCTTATAGCCTCAGAAGACAAATAGTGTTAATTCTACCACAGACACATTACCATCAAGATTCAATGGGAGAAAGCACAGGACAGTAGGCTCAATGGGAGGAGAGTCCAGATCCCAGTTATACTGACTCTCGTCAATGTAACTGACAAGAATCCATCCACTGGCTAAGACAACCTGCATCCTTTCCACATGTTAAATGCCTGAATGCTTACCCCAACATGCCAAGTATTAGTCCATTATAGTGTCAAGGCCAAGTCCAAATATCATCATTAAAATAATGTCCTGGGGCAGTGATGTCAACAAGATGATTGTGTAGACGATACCAGTGCTTCTTACCCCACAAACAGCAACAATTTGAAAGCTATCTAAGTAGGCAAATAGCCCTGTAAGGACTAAGAGTCCAACTAAGAGCATGCAGCAACACAACGGAGTGAAAAGCTGGGAACCATACAGAGAAGATCTCTGGGAGATGGCATATCTGAGAGTCCTGATGATAATGGCAAAAACTTTCAGAAGCAATGAAGCACATTAGTCTGTAGATTGAAAAATCAATAGTACTTATTCATGCTAATCACGATGATACTCATATTATATTATTCTATTCATAATTATAGTAAAATTGCAGAACCAAAGACAAAGACAAAGAGAAAATCTCAAATGCATCCAGAAAAAAAGTGGCTCCCTGTATACAGAGGGACAATAATAAGGCCTTCATCTAACTTTTCCTCAGGACACAGGGAGGCTAGAATGAGAAAGGAGACCCCTTCCTCTTAAGCTTCTAAGGCCACTTTCCCTTAAGCCCTCTACATTG